TTGATTCTATAATTCTATTATTCTAAGCCTGGATCTACACTGCCAGATAATGCAGCATAGTCAAGGTAAAGGTTTTCCCCTGACATGAAGTCCAGTCGTGTCCGATTCTGGGGTGTGGTGCCCATCTCCATTTCTAAGCCAAAAAGCCGGCGTTGTCCATAGACACCTCCAAGGACATGTGGATGGCATGATTGCATGGAGCGCCATTACCTTCCCACCGGTACCTATTGATCTACTCACATTTGCATGTTTTTGAACTGCTAGGTTGGCAGAAACTGGGGCTGATAGCGGAAGCTCACGCTGCTCCTCAAATTCGAACTTGCATTTTTCTGTCAACAAGCTCAGCAGTTCAGCGTTTTAACCCACTGTGCCACCGGGGGCTCCATAGACCCATATAATTCATGTTCAAATGATGTTCAAACTGGATTATATGGCAGTGCAGATCCAGCTTAGGAAAACCCTATGGAATTAATAGGACAGCAATACATTGACAGGTGACTTGAAGCTGTGCACACACATTGTGCTGAAAATTGTTTATGCAGCTGAATCTTCTTAAATCCAGCCTTGGATGCTAAACAGCGCTGCCGTTTGACGCTCCTTGTTGTAAATATGCTATGGAAACACTGTTCCTCCCAGCCTAACATTAATATTATTGCAAGTCATTTCTTTGAAGAATTACAGCAAAGGGGGAAGTCCTATCCTCAGCGCCACCCTTCCTCTTGTGGTGAGTGTGGTTCAGAAGAAATGGACAGGAAGAAGATGTGCAACATTTGCGTTAGAGATACTGACACTCCTCCAGTGGAAGTGTCAAAAAGTAACTGGCCATCTGAGCAAAGGATAGTTTGGGATGATTACACTATGCAACACGATTGTTGTTCCTGTGTTATAAATGCCATTTCCTAATTGGTTCTATCATTAAAAAAACATGGAAAAAAAGTTTATTAAACTGCAAAAACTTTGTTTTGTGGGACATCCTGCAGCACATTTGGCTCTAGTTTTTCAATGAATATCTCAACCAATTCAACAGAGTTTGTGGCAGTCACAAAAACAAAGCTTCTGGAATATAACAAAGTAAGTCCCTCATAATTAAATAGGAAATAACATTTTCAAACCTGGAACAGAACATATTTCAAATTTTGTTACATAGTGTTATGAGTCAAATCATATCATGGATATCAATACTATATAGACATTAAATTATAACTAGAAGGAATTCTTCCCTGGAAAAATTGCACTCAGATCCAGTATGAGAGCAAAGCTTGACTTTCAGCAACTAAAGAGAGAGAGACAGAGAGAGACAGAGAGAGACAGAAAGAGAGAGAGGAGGCAATCACAAAACCCATCTTCCAGAATAAAACAAAGGACTTGGGGGACAGTTTTAGCCAGTGAAGGTCATCTCTGTTCCTCTGAACTGGAACTTTCCAAACTGTGTGTTGCAACACATTAATGTGTTGGCTGCAGTGTGTCACACAAATGTAACAAGAAATGGCAAAAATCTTGGAAATGTATATTATGTTACTCTCTCTCTCTCTCTCTCTCTACACACACATACATACACTAGCCATTCCCTGCCATGCATTGCTGTGGCCCAGTCTGGTGTTCTGGAAAATAATGAGAAAGTGTTGGTTTCTAATATATGTGATTTCTTTATGCTTGTGGGTAAACAGGATTTCTTGTTGTTTCTTTGTCAGTGTTGATGTGGAGATTGTCTGGTTTGCCTACTCTGGAACATGCAACATACAATTGTCCTTTTTTAGGGGTCCCTTTCAAATCTATGATACTATATCTGTCATATACATATGTGTGTGTGTGAATCATATATATCTATCTATATCTATGGCTGGATGGCTCTTTGTCAGGAGGGCTTTGATTATGTTTTCTTGCCCTGGTGAAGGGAGTTGGACTGGATAGCCTTAAGGCAGCATTTCTCAACCTGGGGGTCAGGACCCCTGGGGAGAGTCACGAGGGGGTGTCAGAAGGGTTGCCAAAGACCACCAAAAAACTGTTTGTCATGTGGGTTCTGGGAGTTCTGTGTGCCCAATTCTATCATTGGTGTGGTTCAGAATGCTCTTTGATTGTAGGTGAACTATAAATCCCAGTAACTACAACTCCCAAATGTCAAGGTCTATTTTCCCCAAACTCAATCTGTGTTCATATTTGGGCATATGAATTATGCCAAGTTTGGTCTAGATCCATCATTGTTTGAGTCCACAGTGCTCTCTGGATGTAGGTAAACTACAACTCCCAAACTCAAAGACAATGCCCCAAACCCTTCTAGTGTTTTCTGTTGGTCAGGGGAGTCCTGTGTGTCAAGTTTGGTTCAATTCCATCGTTGGTGGAGTTCAGAATGCTCTTTGATTATTGGTGAACTATAAATCCCAGCAACTACAACTCCCAGATGACAAAATCATCATTTTTGAGTGATGGTCACTCCTTGTGTTGTGAGATGTTTTGTTGTCAAATTTGATGTGATTTCATTCATTGGTTCTTTTGTTTTTAAGGTATTCATTACGCACAGAGCATTTATATATAGATAGATATATGAATATGAAAGCCTTTCATGAGATATGAAATCATGAGATGAGTCACTCTGGACCGCACTCTGACTTATAAGAAGCACTGCTTGACTATAAAGCAAAAAAATGGGTGCTAGAAATAATATCATACGAAAGCTGTCATAAGGAAGAGGGAGCAGGGTTGTTTCCCTGGAGACTAGGACTCAAAACAAGGGGTTCAAATTACAGGAAAGGAGATTCCATCTGAACATTATAAAGAAGCTCCTGACCCTAATTACTGTTCAACGGTGAAGCTGACTTCTTCCTTGGAGGCTTTTAAACAGAGGCTGGATGGCCATCTATCTGGGGTGCTTTGATCGTGCTTTTCCTGCATGGCAAAGGATTGGACAAAGATAGCCCATTTGGTCTCTTCCAACGCCATGATACATGCAGGTATAAGAGCAGCAAGGAAAAGTACTAGGCAGTGTGGACTCAGATAACCCAGTTCAAAGCAGATCTGGTGGGTTCTCCTGCCTTGATATTCTGGATTATATGGCTGTGTGGAAGGGCCCTCTATATCCCAAGATCTGATCCCAGATTATGTTTATCCCAGGTTATCTGGCAATGGGGACTCATATATTCCGGTTATCTGCTTTGAACTAGCAGTTGGGACTCAAATATTCTGGTTTCAAGATGAGAATCTGGGAGTCCTACCAGGCAGGTCCTACATCCCAGGATCTGACCCCAGGTTTTCTGTTTATCCCAGGTTATCTAGCAGTGGGGACTCATATATTCCGTTTTGTTTGTTTTTTGTCGTGCCAGGAGCGACTCAAGAAACTGCAAGTCGCTTCTGGTGTGAGAGAATTGGCCATCTGCAAGGATGTTGCCTGGATGTTTTGATGTTTTACCATCCTTGTGGGAGGCTTGTCTCATGTCCATATATTCCGGTTTCAAGATGAGAATCTGGGGGCCCTTCCAGACAGGCCCTATCTTATACCTGCATGGATATCCTATCTATATCTGAACCAGAGAGTGTTTGAGGACCGGGACATCCGTAGGGATACCAAGGTGCTTGATTATAAAGCTATTGTCCTCCCAACCCTACAAGACGTGGACAGTCTACAGACGTCACATGCAACTCCTGGAACGATTCCATCAGCGCTGCCTCCGGAAAATCCTGCAAATCTCTTGGGAAGACAAGCGGACAAATGTCAGCGTGCTGGAAGAAGCAAAGACCACCAGCACTGAAGCGATGGTGCTCTGCCATCAACTCTGCTGGACTGGCCATGTTGTCCGGATGCCTGACCACCGTCTTCCAAAGCAGTTGCTCTACTCCGAACTCAACAACGGAAAACGGAATGTTGGAGGACAGGAAAAGAGATTTAAAGACAGGCTCAACGCCAACCTTAAAAACTCTCTTATAGACACTAAGAATGGGGAAGCCCTGGCCCTTGAGCGCTCCAGCTGGAGGTCAGCTGTGACCAGCAGTGCTGTAGAATTTGAAGAGGCACGAACGGAAGGAGAAACGGAGAAACGTGTCAAGAGAAAGGCGCGTCAAGCCAATCCGGACCGGGACCACCTTCCATTTGGAAACCAATGCCCTCACTGCGGGAGATGATGCAGATCAAGAATAGGGCTCCACAGTCACCCACGGACCCACCGCCAGTACACTTTTTTTTTGTCTTGTCAGGAGCAACTTGAGAAACTGCAAGTCGCTTCTGGTGTGAGAGAATTGGCTGTCTGCAAGGACGTTGCCCAGGGGACGCCCGGATGATTTGATGTTTTTATCATCCTTGTGGGAGGCTTCTCTCATGTCCCTGCATGAGGAGCTGGAGCTGATAGAGGGAGCTCATCCGCCTCTCCCCGGATTTGAACCTGCGACCTGTCGGTCTTCAGTCCTGCCAGCACAGGGGTTTAACTACTGGGACAACAAGGGATCACCCTAAAAAATCCCAGGATTTCTGTTTACCCCAGATTATCTGGCAGTGGGGACTCATATAATCCAGTTTAAAGCAGAAAATCTGGGATATAGGGCAGTGTGGAAGGGCCCCTATGAAGTTTAGCCTAATGGCCAGAGCTCTCTGTCCTCAGAGTCAACCTCTTTCAATGGCAGGGGGAAACTTGCGTGGCAACCAGAGGGGCGGGGCTGTTGCAGAGGAAGAGGAGGAGGAGGAGGAGAAGGGGAGCTCCCTCCTCCCCCCCCCTCTGGAATTCTCCTCCCCCCCCCCCCTCCCGTTCGTCCCAAAGCCTCCGGCTTCTATGTTCTCCTTATATGGACTCCAGAATGTCTGACGTCACCCCAACTCTGGGAAAACCAGCGCCCGAGCAACCGAACTTCTTCGGGCAGGAGCGCCAGAGGGAAGGGAAAAGGGGGAACGGGAGGGGGGCGGAGTTTAGAATGCAGATGGACACCTGGGCTCGCCCAATGAGGGCGCGGGCGGGGGCGCCGCCATTGGCCGAGCCGCGCCGGGGGCGGGCGGGGCTGCGGAAGGTATGCGGGAGGGCGTGCTAGGCTGCGCCGGCTGAAAGTCGCCGCCTGGCTGCAGAGGGGCGTCAGTCGCTCCGTCACAGCGCGCGGGCCGAGTTGCCAGGGCTGCGAGTTTGAGTCCCCGTCGCGGCTCTTTTTCTCTCTGCCTGTGTTCCTGTCCCGGAGGCACCATGCCGGTCTTCCACACGCGGACGATCGAGAGCATCCTGGAGCCGGTGGCGCAGCAGATCTCCCACCTGGTCATCATGCACGAGGAGGGCGAGGTGGACGGGAAGGCCATCCCGGACCTCACCGCCCCCGTCGCCGCCGTCCAGGCCGCCGTCAGCAACCTCGTCCGGGTGAGTCAGTGAGTGAGTGGCCGGGACAGCCTTTCCCTCTTTCCCTGAGAAAAGGAGGGGAAACTTCCCAACACAACTTCCTGCCCACTTCCTCCTCTCTCCTGCCTCCACGCCTTGATCCCACTCCTTCAGTTCCTTCCCTCCCTCCAGCCAGACTGGACCTAAAAGTATATGTTGCCAGGAGATCAGAAATACAGTAGCCATGGGCAAATCTGGGCCCTCCAGGTGTTTTGGACTTCAACTCCCACAATTCCTAACAGCCTCAGGCCCTTCCTTTTCCCCCTCAGCAGGCTTAAGCGGCTGAGGGGGAAAAGGAAGGGGCCTGAGACTGTTAGGAATTGTGGGAGTTGAAGTCCAAAACACCTGGAGGGCACAAATCTGCCCATGGCTTATCTACAGGGTTTTATGGATGATGGTGACTGCAGTTCCCATCATTCTCTGTCACCGCCCTCCCAAATCCCACAATCACCCAGACAAATCAGTATGCCAAGTTTGGTCCAGATCCGTCGCTGTAGCAGGTCGCAGTGGTCTCTGGATGTAACTGGACTGCAACTCCCATCATTCTGGGTCAGTCCTCCCCAAATGTTCTCCTAGCCATGATGCGTCTGTGTGCCAAGTTTGGTCCAGATCTGTCGCTGTTGGTGGTCGCAGCGGTCACTGGATGTAAGTGAACTGCAACTCCCAACATTTCCCATAGAATCATAGAGTTGGAAGAAACCTCATGGGGCATCCAGTCCAACCCCCTGCCAAGAAGCAGGAAAATTGCATTCAAAGCACCCCCGACAGATGGCCATCCAGCCTCTGTTTAAAAAGCCTCCAAAGAAGGAGCCTCCACCACACTCCAGAGAGTTCCACTGCTGAACAGCTCTCACAGTCAGGAAGTTCTTCCTAATGTTCAGATGGAATCTCCTTTCTTGTAGTTTGAAGCCATTGTTCTGTGTCCTAGTCTCCAGGACAGCAGAAAACAAGCTTGCTCCCTCCTCCCTATGACTTCCTCTCACATAGTTATACATGGCTATCATGTCTCCTCTCAGCCTTCTCTTCTTCAGGCTAAACATGCCCAGCTCTTAAGCCGCTCCTCATAGGGCTTGTTCTCCAGACCCTTGATCATTTTAGTCACCCTCCTCTGGACACATTCCAGCTTGTCAATATCTCTCTTCAATTGTGGTGCCCAGAATTGGACACAATATTCCAGGTGTGGTCTAACCAAGGCAGAATAGAGGGGTAGCATGACTCCCCTGGCCCCCCCCCCCCCCCCCCCCAATTCCTCCAGTATGTTTTCCTGGCCATGCTGGGTCTGTGTGCCAAGTTTGGTTCAGATCCGGCGTCGGTGGGGTTCACAGTGGTCACTGGATATAAATGGACTGCGATTCCCATCATTACATGTCTAACCCCCCCCCCCTCAAATCCCTCCAGTATGTTCTTCTGGTCATGATGGGTCTGTGTGCCAATTTTGGTCCAGATCCATCACTGGATTTAAGTGGACTGCAACTCCCATCATCTCAGATCTATCCTCCCTCAAATCCCTCCAGTATGTTTTCCTGGCCATCATGGGTCTGTGTACCATGTTTGCTCCAGATCCGTCGTTGGTGGGGTTCACCGTGGTCACTCGATATAAGTGGACTGCAGCTCCCATCATCTCAGGTCTGCCCCCCTCAAATCCCTCCAGTATGTTCTCCTGCCCATGATGGGCCTGCGTGCCAAGTTTGGTTCAGCTCTGTCATCAATGGGGGTTGCAGCAGTCTCTGGATATAAGTGGACTGCAACTCCCATCACCTTGGGTCAATCCAAACAAGCTTTTGAGAACACTTAGTCCAGTGGTTCTCAGCCTGTGGGTGCCCTTCAACTCCCAGAAATCCTAATAGTTGGTAAACTGGCTGGGATTTCTGGGAGTTGTAAGCCAAGACACCTGGGGACCCACAACTTGAGAACCACTGGCCTAGTGCCTTGTTGAGTTTCTTATGCAGCCTTGCACTTTCTCCCATGCTCTCGTCCCATGGTTACAGCTCTGTACTTTTCCTTTCCCTGTCCCTGTTGTTTACAGCCTGGCCATGTTTACATTAGCTATTGCCAGTAATGGATATTTGCTGTTTAATTCTGAGTTTTATCTTGTTGTTACATGTTTACATGTTTTTACACTTGTATTTTGTGTTTTATGTCATGTCTTGTTTTAGGCACCTTGTGCCTTGTGTAAGTTGCCCCGAGTCCCTTCGTGGAGATGGTGGCAGGATACAAGAATAAAGTTGTTGTTGTTGTTATTATTATTATCCCCCTCAAATCCCTCCAGTGTGTTCTGCTGGCCATGATGGGTCTGTGTGCCAAGTTTGGTTCAAATCTGTCATTGGTGGGAGGCACCGAGCTCTTGGAAAGTGGGAGCCATCTTGGGAATTACATACATACATACATTCACATTTGTTTTATAATTACATAGATAGATAAATGATGTTTTAATAAAAATGCCTATGTGGAAAAAGGGGACAATTAAAATTATTATTCAGATAGTAATACAATGTATGTTTTAGTTGCAGGACGTTGTTTGAACTTGTGAGTATTAATTGGTCTTTTATCAGTGGGTTTTAACCTGCATTTTAACTTTGTGTATCTTGCTATATGTAGTTTATTAGTGTTTTATCTCTTTGTTTTTAACAATGTTGTACCCTGCCTCAAACCACAAGGAGAGTCAGGCAATAAATATTATTATCATTACTGTTATTATTATTATTAGTAGTAGTATTTGATGCACAAGATTAGTACACAGCAAACAAGATCATTTTGCTGGCTTTTATATTCGATTACACATCAGAGACTTCCCAAGTGTCTAGGACTGTGTGATGTATTGGCCAATAATGTGTGCAGATCCAAATAGGGTGGCCTTTTGAAGCAGGCAGGTGGTAATTTTGTCAGTGCCAATTGTTTTTAAGTGCAGGCCAAGATTTTTAGGCACTGCACCCAGTGTGCCAATTATTATTATTATTATTATTATTATTTCACTGACACAAAAGCACAGTATGTCACAGCAAACGAGATCTATATGCTGGATTTCGTATCAAAAAATCACAAGTCAAACAATTCCCAAGCGACTAGGACTGTGTGATGTATTTTTGAATGATGCGCGCAGATCCAAGTAAGGTGGCCTTTTACAGTTGGCAGATCGTGATATTGTCAATGTTTGTTGCTTCCAAATGCCAAGTGAGATCTTTTGGCACGGCACCCAGTGCGCCAATGAGCACTGGGACCACCTGTACTGGTTTATGCCAGAGCCTTTGCAGTTCAATTTCGAGGTATTGATAGCGGCTGAGTTTTTCCTGTTGTTTTTTCCTCAATACGGCTGTCATCGTATAGCGACATTAATAATCCAGACTTTTTTCTTTTCAACTCTTTTCTGTTCGTGATGTCTGGTATATTGTGTTCCAAAACTTTGTCAGTCTGGATTCGAAAGTCCCACAATATTATTCGTGTTCATTTTCCATGACCTTTGCAGGTTTATGATCCCACCAATTCTTTACCGCTGGCAGGTGGCACTTGTGACATAAGTTCCAGTGAATCACCTGGGCCACGGAGCTGTGTCTTTGTTTGTAATCTGTCTGTGCGATTTTCTTGCAACAGCTGAGGATATGGTCAATGGTTTCATCAGATTCCTTGCACAGTCTGCATTTTGGGTCATCCACTGATGATGATGATGATTATTATTATATAATGGAACTTCTATTATATTCTCAAGCTATTAAAAGGTTATTAGTATTTTAACCTATTGACTGAGGTTTGCCATTGAGCAAGCAGATACCTTGGCCAGTCTGCCACTGCTTAGGACCTTCCCGTCACCCATCAACTTATGTATTGACTCTGGAAGCAGCATTCAGGATTGTGCAGAAGCTGGGATGCAAATTTCAGGGGGGTCATATAAATACTTGCTGTTCGAACTGGGTTGTGGCATCCCCTTCCCTTTCTCTTCTGGGCAAACTCCCAGTGTTCATTTATCTTCATCGAAGATACCAAGAAGGGCCCCCTTCGGCTCACTATCTGCTTTGCCTTCTCTCATTTTTCCTTCCAATCCCTTTCTGCCACTCACTTTCCAGATATTTTTCCTTTGCCCTGATTCCTCAGAACTGATCCTGAATGGTGAATCATGTCTCCAAATCATAGTATCATCTTGTCCAACCCCATTCTGCCAATCAGGAACATACAATCAAAGCACTCCCAAAAGATGCCTATCTAGCCTCTGCTTAAAAACCTCTAGAGAAGGTAACTCCACCACACTCACTCCAAGGAAGCTCCTGCCCTAAATTTCTTCTTAATGTTTAGATGGAATCTCTTTTCCCGTGATTGGAATCTATTTCTCAGGGTCATCACCTTCTTTTCTCCATGCTAAACATATCCAGCGCCCGAAGCTCCTACTATTTAGTAAGGCTGATTCTGCCATTGAAAACCCAAAGGGAAAGTGCTCTTGGCACTGTGTGCTCCTGGTGATCAAAGAAGGGTTTCCAAACAGTACAAAATGTCACATTTCTCTCAATTTCGAACACGTTATGTGTGCCGAGCCTTCTAAAGGAGTAGCACTGTAGGGGCCCCCCATGTCTGTAATGATGTGGCACACTCCAATACAGAGTCTAGAAGAAACCACCCTACAACACCCACCCCTTCCCTTTTTTTCACTGAAGTCCCTTCGTTTTTCCTCATTTGTCTTTGAGCTGCTATCCGGTTATTAGAGAAATGCCTTGGCTTTAGTCTCTCTTTCTAGTATTTGATTCCGATTCCGTTATATTTCTTTAATTGCTACTTGCTCTATTCCTTTTCACTCCTCCTGGTCTCTCTCTTTGTCTATCTTGGAAGAGTCTCCTTTCCCCTTTTTAAATTGTTGATGAAGTGTCCTTCCCTTTTCCATATTCAAATAGTACCTCTTCCCAAATTGCTTTTCTGCATACTTAAAGAGCCGGAGAAGTAATTGGCCAGATGATATCTAGCAGTTAATTTTACAGTGGCTTAACAATCGCAGCCAACTG